AACCCGGGGGCGGGGGGCGAAGACCTCGAAGAAAAGGGAAGAAAGGTAAAGGCCGGCGGACAGCGGGAAAGAAAAGAGGGCGGAGAAAGGGAAAGACGGGCCCCGACCGAAAGGACGGCGGAGGCCGCAGGAACGGGGGGGAAGGCGGCAAAGGCCAGCGACGGCGGAAGGAACCGCGGGCAACGGCGGCAGGGGACCCCCAGCACCCCCGGAATACGAAGGGGTGAAGGGGGGGGGCACAGGGGGACCGGGGTTGGGTGAGCGCGAGAGCTCAGGAGGGCAGTGTGCAGGGAGCAAGAGAGAGAAAGGAGCGCGCGCCTTCCAGCCTGACTCGGTGACTATCTCGTCAGAGACCCACGTGATGTTGCCATCCGACGGCACGACCCCGGCCGGGCCCGAGGTGCCGCAGTAGCTGACGCCGTTGACGATGAGGTAGTCGTAGGGGCAGTACCCCTCATACGTCAACCCCCCAAACTCCACGTCAAAGGCGATCACGTCCAGCCCGGCCTGCGGCAGGCCGTAGATGATGCAGCCCTCGTTGACCGGGTAGTCGTTCGGGAAGTCGGGCGAGGTGGCGCACGAGCCGCCGTCGGTGATCAAGCACGGGCCGCTGGTGCAGACGTCGCCGAACGGGCATGCCGGTAGGGACGGCGGCGCGATTAGTGGGGGCGCGATCGGGGGTGCGGACGGTGGCGCCGCTTGTGAGCCACTCGCGTCCTGCAGGAAGATGAGCACAATGCAAACTCGGAGAGCACGCGAACAGGCGAGCAAATGCACGGAGCCAGCTGCATGGCTGCGGCCCTCCACCCTCTTCTTCTTCACCTGCAGCCTGCGCACCAGCCCGCGGCACGCCGCGAGCAGCGCTAGCACGGCTGCACAAGGATGGAGAAAGAGCAGAGAGGCCGCAGAGAGGGCCGTGACGGTCGTGAAGCTCGCCTCAGGTGAGGGGTCGCCGATCTTGGTCGCGCCGGAAGTCTCGACAAAGGAGGCGAGCTCGGCGTAGGCGCCGCTGAGCTTGGAGGTCGTCGGGACGGACGTGACGGCGGTGAGAGCGGGTCCGCCCTCACTTATGTCCGCCGCGGAAAAGTAGCCGGAGCACTTGCCACTTGTCCACACGGGGTCGAGGTCGTCATCGACAGTATTTGTACGGAGCAGCTGATTGTCGTGATGAATAGCCTTGCGGAACGGGTCGCCCGCCAACGTGCCGTACCTGCTGTTGTTGCAGACGGCCACGCCTCCATTCGGCAGCAGAAAGAGGAGTTGCATCGCGAGGATTTGCATCGCGCGTCGGGTCGCCGCGGTTGGGCGGGCAGTGAGGGAGGCCTTGCGATGCGACATGGATGTCATGGAGGCGATTGCCTTTGATTGGGGATTTTACGGGCAATCCGCCGTGATTTTTTTCTTCGCGTTTGACTCGCATGTGGAGCTTTGGCGGCGGTCTCGGGCACGGACGGCGCGCGTCGGTTGCGCAAGGCGT